TTTGAAGCTGCTCGGCAGAATTGCTCGGGATTTTCGAGACCTCTTACGCATGGAAGTGAAGAAGAAACACGTGGTTGGGCATGGGTCTGCATGGTCTGCATGCGCACCGTGTGTCTTAGCGTACGTGCATCTATAAACATCAACAACACACGCATGTGGAGCTGCTTCGTGCATGGGCACAGATGGACAACAGAAACTTTCAGTGATCCGGCATAGATCCCTGATGCGCAAGCTCTTTTTTTCCAACTGCTACCGCATCGGTGGTGCGACCTGCGATTTCGGACTTCATTTGGAGGTCTGACCGGTATCTCGAATCTGTAGCTTGCATTTCTTACGGAAATGCTTCCTTTCGAGGACCGACCGTTTCACGGTCGGTGCTCGCAGATTGAAAGCAGAGCGAACTCGGATGAAGTTGGGGTTCCCGAGGGTGGGGAAACAAAGCTTGAAAATTATGCTTATGCCAAAACGGCATAAGTAAAAGTAACATTCGAAGTGGTCGACTCATGTAAACCCACGATGTCGATCGATGAAGTATGAAAGCAGCGAGTTGTCACTTCGCACACCAGTGTGCTACAGCACATATCAAATCATACTGGTAGGCACGCGCATCGCATGGAAGTGAAGGGAGCGTAAGTACATTTACACATATACATGTACACGTGTATACATTCAAAGCGCCCCCGTCCCTGAGCACAACCAAGGGCACAATGAATTGCACGCGGAAATACACGAATTTACAGCTAAGCTTTGAAGATATGTCCCGACGTCTACCCTCACACAATGATAATCATATAACTGAAATTGGCTCTGCTCGGCGCGGTATCCCCAAAGCCACAAACCATAGCATCCATACGCTTGCACGCGGGAAGCCCGTAGGCTAAAAGCGTGAACAACGGTTTCCTCCATCTCAGCTGGATGCACAATAATCAGGTTTGACGTGATTTGCCTGAGATTGGCTCTACTCGGTGCGGTACTGCTGCCGCTATTCCAGCGCGACCACTTGAAAATCCAGCCTCGGGCAGTTTGGACACAGTGCTGGGCCCTTTGTACAGCTCTTTGTTGAGGAGCGTTTCTGTGCGGCTTTGTTGAAGATCCCTGTTGGCGGGGCAGACTGTGTCCAGATCTGGCAACTCTTGAGTAAGTTTCAATGCTCAACACTGCCTCACCTCAACTTTCTTTCAATTTGAATACATGTCCCTTGTGCTTTTCTTTGTGCTCCTTTCTTGGAAATCGGAGCAAACCTTGTGCTGCTTCTGGTGTAGAATTTTGTGCTCCTTTTTGTCATACTTCTGTTGCAGAACATGGTGCTCCTTTTTGTGATACTTCTGCTGCAATATTGCACTCCCTTTTGTGCCACTTCTTGTGCAAAGTATTGTGACCCTTTTTGTGCTACTTCTGGTGCAAAATGAAATTGTGTGCTCCATTTTGTGTTACTTCCGGTGCATTTTTGGTTGTGGTTTTTACAATTCACAACGATAGCGTTGGCATGTCGGCCCCCTACACGAACCTTGGTTTGCGATTGAAATTGGAGCAAAACTTGTGCTACTTCTGGTGCAAAATTGTGTGCTCCTTGTTGTGCCACTTCTTGTCCAAAATTGTGTGATCCTTTTTGTGCTACTTATGAGACAAAATGGTGTGCTCCTTGTTGTGCTACTTCTGGTGCAAAATGTTGTACTCCTTCTTGTGCTATACTTCTGGTGCAAAATCTGGCACTTTCCCTGAGACTCAAAACCAGATCTCGGGCAAAAGCTTTTGAAGTCAGGCAGTTCCTCTGTCCAGACTTCCACCTTGGCCAGCCTTGGCTCTGTTGGGGTGGTTCGGGTGATGGGTGGGGTGCTGGGGGAGTGGGGTGGTTGGGGGGGGGTGGTTCTGCGGTTGGGTGGTTGGGGGGGTTGGGGGTGGGGTGGTTTGGGTGGGTGGCGGGGGTCGTGGGGTGGCTGGGGTCAGGACGCAGACGCTCAAAGCAAAAGCTGTAGAATGTCTGGGTAGGATTCCGTTTGGCAAGGCCAAATCAGTCATTTGCTATTTATGGGTGGTTGTGTATACAAGAACCTTCTTCGACTGTCAGTATGCCGGGGGGGTTGAATACACATACATACATGCATACATACATACATACATGTTGCATACGTACGTGTATACAAACATACATACATGGCTGCAGTAGTCGCGCCGACATGTTTCGGTGATGCGACGTACGGAAAGCACTGCCTCCTGCAGGACCTTTACAGACTCGCAGTTGGGTCCTGGAGACTTGGAGCCCCCTCCTCTCTTGCCTCTGTCGACAGTCAGTATCCGGTCTTACAGGCGATGCGGAGAATACCAGGCATCCGACATTCCTTTGGGAACGGTCTGCTATGTCTTTCGCCGGGCGCATCGCCAGAGCCACATGCGATCTTCGGGGCTTAGTTAGTTTCACTTGTGCAACCGAAAGGGGTTGCGTCGAAGAGACTCTACGCCCAAAGCAGCAGAACCAAAACGACTGATATCTATATTTTTTGTACAAACACGCACTTCTGTGTGTACACATGTAGGTATACAAACAGGAGTGTATGTGACGTGCATAAACACAAGATATAATATACAGTTTTTATTTACGCACGTCACATACGTTTGTATACCTACACGTGGATACATACATACATACATACATACATACATACATACCTATGCAGACCGACCGACCGACCGACCCACCTACCTACCCACCTACTTACCGACCTACCTACCTACCTACCGACCTACCTACCTACCTACGTAATACCAAAACCTAGACCTATACCTAAACCTATACCTATACCTACCGAATGGCCGACCGACCTACCTACCTACAAACACATACATACAGATGCACAGACATACACATGTATATTCGTGTAACAAGTATAAATACCCGAACCACTGCAACTGCCCAAAGGCATATGTGATCAGGCTTCATGCGGATAAAATGGGAGGTCTAACCTTGAAACATGGGTAGGCAAATCCATCAACCGCGGTCGCACACGTTTTAACTGCATGTGTCGCAATGCTCGGTGACTACTTCGTTCAGGTTTATGTTCGAAGCTGCCCCTGAAGCCCGCTCCGAAATCGTTGAAATCCTTCAGAGACCATGGCGAGGCTCGCAGCTCCAAACAAGTGGTACGAGCACTTGCAAGCAGTCTTCCGCAGCTACCAAGCCCGAAATCCAAGCTCGAAGCAGCTGTCGTATGCAAATGCGTAAGACCTCATTCAACAAGCAAAAGAAAGAGGCCGGAGGCGCAACCCTGCAACCTCGTCATATCCAAGCTTCACACGCCCCAAGCCTTCAAGCCCATCACCCCAAACCCGGACCTCTGCAGGCTCTCCGGGGCGGACGGGCAGTGCCTCGTATAGGCAGAGTCTTGGTGTGACCAGGACTACGTCCGGCGGAGCAGAAGACAACTCGTGACAAGCTCTGTCCCATGTTGTACGAAACACGATGCAGTTAAGATAGTTGAACTGCAGGCTCGGCCCGAAACCAATCGCCAGATACAATGAAAGTTTCGTCCAAGTCACTCCCCCTTGCAGCCGCGTCTTCAGCGTGTCTGCTGGATGGGACAGGGCGGCTCCCAACGACCCGGAGAAGACCTGAAACGCTGCCCAGGCAAGGAATAAAGTGAGCTTGCGACCCGAAACTACTTTAAATTTGGGGTTGAAGAATTAGAAGTCGGTTGAATCAATGAAGGTGCTGCTGAACCCGGCTCTTAGCAGCGAATGCTTGGTAGGGACTCGCTACACAGGGGCATTTTCTCCCGCTCATAAACGATCAAAGCGAAGGCTTTGTAAAGTTGGCAATGAGAACGTTCATCCCTAAATCCATAAGCCCCAAACATCGGACCCCAAGCAAGCTCCGGAGTGAGCTCATGAGGTTACGTACCCCCCTTCGTAGCCACAATGAAAGGTTCTGAGCTCCTCGAAGCCACTAGCAAAGACCTGTCTTATATATAAGCTCAGTTGCGGAAGCCAAAGCGGTCGCAGCACCATCAGACAGTTCCTCAGAGCAGGTTCCGGGGAAGCTTGATATTTCCTTCATGGCTGGTGAGGCAGACCCCCCAACAAATCAAAAGAAGCCGTGTGGTGAGCAGTAGTCATTCGCTGTTGTCTTGTCATGGACAGTGGGGCTCATTTCAAGTCAGGATGGATGTAGGCTTCGGGTCCAGTCCAAACCCATCTACGGCTTCGAGGCTGTGGTGGTTCTGACGAGGTCCCTCAGCATGGAGCTCACGAGTGGGAATTTCTACGATTTGGATCAGGACATTGGGGTCTTTCATAGGATGATGGGTAATATTAATTCAGTTTAGTATAGGTAGTAGTAGTCGTCGTCGTCGTAGTGGCAATAGTAGTGGCAGTAGTAGTAGTCGTAGTAGTAGCAGTAGTAGTAGTAGTAGTAGTAGTAGTAGCAGTAGTAGTAGCAGCAGCAGCAGCAGCAGTAGTAGTAAGAAGTAGTAGTAATAGTAGGAGTAGTAGGAGGAGGAGGACGAGGAGGAGGAGGAGTATAGGATTGTTGTAGCAGCAGCAGCAGCAGCAGCAGCAGGAGCAGCAGCAGGAGCAGGAGCAGGAAGAGCAGGCGCAGGCGCAATCGCAAGAGCAGCAGCAATACAAGTAGCAGAGGCGGTAGCAGTAGCAGTAGCAGCTGTAGCAGCAGCAGCAGTACTAGCAGTAGTAGAAGCAGTAGCAGTANNGTAGTAGTAGTAGTAGTGGCAGGAGTAGTAGTAGTAGTAGTAGTAGTAGTAGTAGTAGGAGCAGCAGCAGCAGCAGCAGCAGTAGCAGCAGTAGAAGCAGTAGCAGTAGCAGTAGCAGTAGCAGTGGCAGCAGCAGAAGTAGGAGTAAAGTAGTCGTCGTCGTCGTGGTCGTAGCACTAGTCGTTTGGTTTTAACGATGACTGTTGATAGCTGAATATTACAAGTATTATCAACATGACTACTGGCTGCCTTTATTGTCCAAGCGATTTTTCGTCGTCTCCAACAATCGTGCCAAGATGCAGGTCGCTTTTGCAGCAGCCAAGTCTTGATCAAAGGGTTGATGGCAATGTAAGAGCTGCAGAATATGCCTTTCAGGGTTACTCTAAGAGTTCAGCGTTTAAGGCTTAGGGCTTAGGGCTGCCACGCCGAACTTATCCGAAAACCCAGTTTCGGGGACCAGCTTCTAGGAAGCTGCTTCCCGGCCTTCTCGAGTGGCGCCCATGGAGTAGCCACGCCAGAGCCCCAATATTCCATTCTGGGAGACGATTTTCCTGTCACACCAGCGCATGAATCGGCAGGGCTGTTGTCTTTCTGCTTGTGGGGCATGTGCTGTCTTGGCACGAGGCCCCCAAGATTTAATTGCTGTGCCCAAACGACCTAGACCTAGCCGGTTCGGCCCAACTCCGTTCCGAAACCGACAATGTCACACACGCACACGCACACACACGCACACGCACACACACGCACACAGCACACGCATGTTTTGAATCGTCTCGGGTATCCACGGCTGGCGTAAACTGCTGCCTTAAAAAGTCACCATAAACTAGCACGAAATATGCGGCATATTGTGGCATACTCTGGCCCTTTGTGGCTGGCCTGGCTGTCGCAAACATCGAGGATCCGTGGTTCGACTGGTTGACCTCACCGCAGTGCAGGCCTATGAGGCGTTGCTTCATGTCTGGGTGGCTGCCCAACCCGCCTGCCCGTGGTGCGCCTTATAGAAAGTTCCAAGTCCTACAAATCTTCTTAGTATTTGGTTGAACTCAATGCGAAAAGCAGCTCGCACGAACCGCAAAAGTACAGCGAACTGCGCATGGTGCCTTGAGAAGACACGACACGACAGACCCAGAGCTTGCTATCAAATGTCAATTCGCTTGACATCGTCGGAATCATTGATGCTTATTGCTCAATGACATCGCTGTAAACAAACCATACTTCCCAGACGAGACGGTCAGACCCCGGGACACACAATACCTCACTCCGCCCAAATCTGGCCATCATAGTGCGGCATCAGGTTTCCCCGAACCCTGAACACTCAGACCTCTACCGTCCGGAGCCTCAACGAGCTGCGTCGGCGATTGGACCAGTGCCGATGCGACCTCGACTTGTTGAGGCGTGCTGTCACAACAAAACAAAAAAACCATGATGGCCATGATCGTTACTATCAAAACATATGACAAAAGGCATAGGGTTTGGGGTATATTCGTCTATGTGAGCTGGCCCCCTTACCTACTCAAGCACTCGCAGTTTGCCCACATGAGTTGTTAGCTGGCCTTGCAATCGCAAAGATGCGCGGCCGAGAAGGGGCTCGAGTCTGACCCGTGATCACCGGCCTTGATTCGGTGACCCTCTTTAACGCATGTTCCGGGTGCGCATCCAGTTTTTGGCATTCTGATTGACCGTCCTCTATAACGCGTTTCTTCCAACCTTGATATTGTTTAGAGCGACCCACGGATGCCCGACATGGGACACGGCCATACCCCCACTCACCGCCGGGTGCAGAAAGACCAGCAGAAAAACCAGCAGAAAAACCAACGCCAGCAAATCGCTCTTGCAAGCAGACTGGTCCTCACCGCGCACGCCCAACGCGTTGGCAAGGAAGCAACGTCGTCCAGTTCAAGAGCCGTCCGTGCCGACGAGCGGCTGCCCTGTTGGGGTCTCGGGTACCACCGCAGCCAACAGCCTCTCTTCAACGCGTGGCGTACCGGATGCCAACCCGGACGGTACATGACAGTCCTGTGGTGTAAGTATAAAGAGAAATCAGGCTGCCACCCGAGGCGTGATGGCCCCAAAGACACTATACAGTATAAGCAACAAGAAACGAGTGCGACTGTCTGTAGACTGCGGGTGGAAACGCATAAACCGTGGGGGTTCGGTCACTGTAGATACATATCTCTTCAGGATGTCAGAAGGGTCTTTGCTGGAAGCCTTCGCCGGCTCTCAAATCAGGGCTCTCGCTGCGGCGCTTAACCCCATTAGGCCTTTCGCTCTCTTTTGTCCTTGACCTCCATCCCCGTGTCCGCAACAGCCTCCCGGTGCAGCTGCGACGGTCGCCAGCTCCTTGCTGTTTCACGCAGGGAGGGTCGGTTTGAGGGGGGCTTGTGAGTGTTGCCAACCGCCGTGATGTCATTTCCAGCATGGTAACCCGCTATCTCTCGGCACTTGCTTACTGCTCCAGGGTAGGATTTCTCAGCGTACTCCACGAAGTGACCAATGCGCTGCACATCTGATCTTTCAGCTGCTCCACTCGGGCTGTGCCTGCTGAGCTTGATCCACCCCCACCATCACAGGCTTGATCCCTTGGCACCTGGTATGCCTTCAAGATCCAATGGATGTGTTGTCCGGAGAGCCCAGTAAGGAACACCGCGATTTGCAACCCGCTTCCCCTTGCTGGTGCTCACCCACGAAACGAGCCGACAACCCCTAACAGGGTTGGTGCATACAGAGGCCTCAAAAATGTGCCCGTGGGTTGGCTAACATAACCATAATGTTCTCGCATGTCCAGAATTGTTGTTGCCAAAGACTTTTAAAGTAGGCCCCACACACCTCAAACGTTGTCCTAAATCCTACGTAAACAATCCAAACATAGCCCGGAATCTAAACAAAGCAAGCCCGATCATGTGATCCAACATCTCGAAAGGATATGCTCGCGATATATAGCGGCGGCAACGGTTTTGTCCGTGAGCCCTGTAGTCGAATTTGGCGAAACATAGGACAATACTAAGCTAAGCTGAGATCAAGCGAAGGTAAGTTTGGGAGCACGCTAATTTCCAAATCAAAATCTTGTGGAGCTGCAGAATACTTGCAGGAGGTGAACATACTGCTTGTCGGACAGGTGGAGAAGCGAGGTGGCAGAGTCCCTGCCTCAGAAGTCAAGCGATGCATGTCGCGTCATGCACCGAGTGGGTTCGAGCCGGCTGTAGATCTGAGAGGACAGGTCCGAGTCCGCGTCAGGATCTCGCCGGCAAGCTAAAGGACAAGAGCTTGGTGCGTCACTTCAAAGGATCTGCGTGCTGCGACAGCACGGAGGAAGAGCTCGCACAGTTGTTGCGACGGTGCAAGAACGATAAAAACAAGGTCTGCGACAAAGCATCAAAAGGCACTGCAAGACTGCAAGAGAAACAAACTCTTCGACAGAGGTGCCACGTCATCCGTACAGGAAAAGCAGTCATCGGATGTATGCGACTCACAACCACAAGGATGCGCAAAGTAAGCAATAAAACAGCACTTGGCGACAGCACACCGCAGGCTTGCCAGTTTGCCAATGGTGCAACAGATTGTCAGCTCCGGTCAAGACAACGTCCCCATCAGAGGGCATCATCGGAAGCCTTCAGTGACAAAGAAATACTGCACACTTCGCATGTCAGAATAACATCTGGGACATGTGCCCAGACACCGATAGAGAGCTCATATCACGCAGGCACATCAGTTCATTTGCTGCAAGCACGCAGGTGGGTATCAGCGTGACGCATCATATGCAGTTGCAATTATTGTCCATTTTGGCTGGCTGCTCCACTCTCCCAGGAAGGAGCAGTTCCTGTGTAGCTAGCAGCGCATGCTTTGGCAGTTTGCCACTGTGCAACGAGTCGCCCGTGGAGACCATCCGCAACTAGCTTCTGTGTGGCCCCACGAGTATAGCTTCTGTGCTGTGGCAAGCAGTTTGCCACTGTTGCCTGTGTCGCGCCAAGTCGCGTACACACTGAGAATGGATGATGTGATGTTTCCTAACTCAAGGCGCTGCCGATTCTGAAACAGGATTGCGATGCCCCAACCATGACACAAAGTATCTAAACCTCCAGAGGTTCGTCTTCGGTTGGCACCTCAGTGGATACGATGTCTGACTCCTTGCAGATTTCAAGGCCGCTCGGGGTTTAGAGCACTCAATCTACCCTAGAGGGCGACTTAACATGCATGTGACCGCCTCTCTATTGGGACATTTTGCCAGACCGAAAGTTTACAGAGAGAGACGACGGCGCAGGCATGATGGCTGCCAAAGAGGACGGGGCTTGATGGTTCAGCAAAGACGGCGTAAGCGTTTTAGTCGTTGAGGGCTCGTTAAATGCCCAGGATGCCCCATGTCTCTGGCGTGATAGACCGCTGCAATCTGCATGCACATGCCCTATGCAACATACTACGCTATTGCCATACCTATCTCACACGAACACGCCATTCGCGGTTCGATGTCGCTTAAACTTTACCATTATAGCAGTCTTCATGTATTTGAACCATGCCCATCGCCACCATCCTCGCAGCCGGTTTGGGTTTAACGGACTGAGGACAGGAACCTTAAGCTTTTCGAGGCTTTCTGAGGGGTTCAGGTCCTAAACCACAGTCACCACCCCCCGCCCCAAAAAGACAAAAAAGGAACACAGACCCCCTAAAGCTTAAGCCGACCCGAAAAACCCCGCTGTCGCCGCTACAGTACCGCTGCTGTACTACGACGATGCTATACTCCAGTACATTTGCTTTCCTATCTGTTATTTCTATTTTCGATGTTGCTACTAATGTCCTTATGTAATGTTATGGTACCACTCTACGGTTCACATGGAGATGAGACTATTCAGGACGGGGTGAAAGTTTTGAGGGGGATGGGGCCCTACCCCCAACACCCAGCGCAACCATAAGAGGACTGTAGCACTGAGTGTCATCCTGCGGCGTTTTGCTCCTGTCCTACTCACTGCCTTCCACCACATGGTTCGCCGCCACATCATTACAGGCTCTGCTTTGCCGTTGCGCGTGAGGCAGCTCCCAAGCCTTCTTATCCTGACTAACAGACAGAATTCACAAAAACGACATCCTAACTTCCACCTCGACAACTACCCACAGCAATACGCCTGGACATGCTGCACGACTCAGCTGTGCGCCTGGAGCCTCCACTCCTCTCCCAGCACTTATGAGGAGTCCATGCAATGGCAATGTAGGTTAAACCGTATCTCCCCCAATTTGTCAGGAGGGCTTCATCAACCCTCCATGCCTCCGACCCTCCCATAACCTGGGGCAGCCACCCCAGCCATCACCGAGGCGAGGATCTTGTCCGTGTCCCGGACTTGCGACTCGGAGCCCCGCCAGGCCTCTGGGACTGAGAGCGCTCGCTCTGAAGCGATCATCATCATGGTGCTTGAGGTCTGGCGGTCGTGGTTGTGGTTGGTGGAGGTGATCGCCGTAGTGGTAGCAGTAGAGGAGCAATAGCCGCAGGACTAGGACTAGGAGTAGGAGTCGTCGTCGTCCTCCTCCTCGTCGTCGTAGTAGTAGCAGCAGCAGCAGCAGTGGCAGCAGCAGCAGTGGCAGCAGCAGCAGCAGCAGCAGCAGTGGCAGCAGCAGCAGCAGCAGCAGCAGCAGGAGCAGGAGCAGGAGCAGGAGCAGGA